AACTGCCTCAACTAGATAAAGAGCATCTACAAAAAACCTACAGCTAACATCATACTTAATGGTGAGAAACTAGAAGTTTTCTCTCTAAGATCAGGAAAAAGGCAAAGATATCCCCTTTCACCACACCTTTTCAACATTGTACTGGAAGTCCTAGCTAATGCAACAAGATAAGAAAACAAAATAAAAGGTATACACTTTGGGAAGGAAGAAAGAAAACTGTCTTTGCATGCAGATAACATGATTGTCTATGTAGAAAATCCAAAGAATTGACAAAATAACTCCTGAGATTAATAAGTGATTATAGCAAAAATACAAGATACAAGGTTAATACACAAGTCAATCACTTTCCCATATATCAGCAACAAACAAGCGGAATTTGAAATTTAAAACAATACCATTTACAATTAGCACCCCCAAAAATGAAATACTTAGGTATAAATCTTAAAAAATATGGCTAAGATATACAAGCATACCTCATTTTATTTTGCTTTGCAAATACAGCATTTTTTACAAGACCCTCCACCAGCAAATAGATTATGAATCACTGAAGGCTCAGATGATGGTTAGCATTTTTTAGCAATAAAGTATTTTTTAACTAAGGTATGTACATTTTTTTAGACATAATGCTATTGTACACTTAATAGGATACAGTATAGTGTAAACATAATTTTCCTATGCACTGGGAAACCAAAAAATTTGTGTTACTCACTTTATTTCAATATTCACTTTATTGTGGTGGTCTGGAATCAAACTTGCAATATCTCCTGTATATGAGGCAAACTATAAAAACTATGACAAAAGAAATCAAGGAAGAATTAAATAAATGGAGAGATAATACATGTTCTTGGAGAGGACAACTCAGTATTGTCAAGACGTCAGTTCTTCCCAGCTTGATCTGTAGATTCACTGAAATTCCAATCAAAATCCTGACAGGTTATCTTGTGGATATCAATAAACTGATTCTAAAGCTTATATGGAGATGCAAAAGATACAGAACAACCAACACACTACTGAAGGAGAAGAGCAAAGTCGGACTAAAACTACCCAACTGCAAGACTTTTACTGTAAAGCTACAGAACTCAAGAGAGTGTGGTATTGGTGAAAGAACAGACAACGAGATACATGGAACAGAATAGAGAGCCCAGAAATAGATCCACATAAATATAGTCAACTGATTTTGACAAAGGATCAAAGGTAATACAATGGAGGAAAGATAGTCTTTTCAAAAAATGATGCTAGAACTAGATATCCATGTGCACGAAAATGAATCTAGAAACAAACTTTGCACCCTTCACAAAGATTAACTCAAATGGATCATAGATCTAAATATAAAACTCAACACTACAGAACTCCTAGAAGATAACATAAGGAAAATCTAGATGACCTTGGCTATGGCAATGACTTCTTAGATACGACACCATAGCCACAATCCATGAAAAAAAGAATTGATGAGCTGAACTTATTAAAATTTAAAACTTGTGGGGCCAGCCCCATGGCCAAGTGGTTAAGTTTGAGTGCTCCGCTGTGGTGGGCCAGGGTTTCGCCGGTTCGAGTCCTGGGCACAGACATGGCACCGCTCATGGGGCCATGCTGGGACAGCATCCCACATGCCACAACTAGAAGGACCCACAACTAAAAATACACAACTATGTATGGGGGGGCTTTGGGGAGAAAAAGAAAAAAAATTCTTTTAATTTAAAAATTTAAAACTTGTGCTCTGTGAAGAGACACTGTCAAGAGAATGAGAAGACAAGCCACAGACTGGAAGAAAAGATTTGGAAAAGACACACTTGATAAGGACATCAGCTAAAATATATAAAGAACTATTAAAGCTAAAGAAGGGAATGAACAACCCAGTTAAAAAATGGACAAAAGACCTAAGCAGACACCTCACCAAAAAAGATATATAGATGGCAAATAAGCCTATGAAAAGATGCTCAACATCGTATGTCATCAGGGAAATGCAAATTAAAACATCAATGAGATATCACTACTCAACTATTAGAGAGGCCAAAATTCAAAACACTGACAACAACAAATGCTGGCAAGCATGTGAAGCAACAGGAGCTCTTTCATTGCTTGTGGGAATCGAAAATGGTACAGTCACTTTGGAGGACAGTGGTGATTTCTTACAAAAATAAGCATACTCTTGGGGCTGGCCCTGTGGCCGAGTGGTTAAGTTCACGCACTCCGCTGCAGGCGGCCCAGTGTTTCGTCGGTTCGAATCCTGGGTGCGACATGGCACTGCTCATCAAGCCACGCTGAGGCAGCATCCCACATGCCACAACTAGAAAGACCCACAACTAAGAATATACAACTATGTACCGGGGAGCTTTGGGCAGAAAAAGGAAAAAAATAAAATCTTTAAAAAAAAAAAAAGAAGCATACTATTACCATAACGATCCAGTCATCACTCCTTGATATTTACTCAAAGGAGTTGAAAACTTATGTCCACACAAAAACCTGCAAGCAGAGGTTTATATTATCTTTCTTCATAACTGCCAAAACTTGGAGGCAACCTAGATGTCCATCAACAGGTGAAGGTATGAATAAATTGTGGTACACCCAGACAATGGAATACTATTCATCACTAAGAAGAAATGAGCTATCAAGCCATGAAAAGTCATGGAGGAACCATAAATGCATATGACCACAGAACTCCTAGAAGATAACATAAGAGAAATGAAATGAAAGCAGCCAACCTGAAAATGCTACATTGTCTGATTCCAACTATACAACACTCCGGAAAAGGAAAAACTATGGAGATGGTAAAAAGATTAAGTTGTCAGGAGTTTGGGGAAAGGGAGGAATGAATAGGCAGAGCACAGAAGATTTTTAGGGCAGTGAAACTACTCTGTATGATACTATAATGATACACACGGAATTATACATTTCTCAAAACCCATAGAATGAACACCACCAAGAGTGAACCCTTACTGTAAACTATAGACTTTGAGTGATAATGATGTATCAACACAGGGTCATCAATTGTAACAAATGTACCACTCCAGTGCAGGATGTTAATAGTAGGAGAAGCTGTGCATGTGTATGTAGGTGGGAACTCAGCATTTTCTGGTTAATTTTGCTGTGAACCTAAAACTGCTCTTAAAAATAGTCTATTTAAAAAGGGGAAAAAATCTCACAGAATAGTGAGAAATAATAAATGGTAGTTATTTTAAATCACAAAGCTTCAGGGTGGTTTGTTATGCAGCAATGGATAATTAAGATGACTACGTATGGAAAAGACTGTCGATTAACTCCTAATATCCATTCTTTCTTCCTCTATAATAAAACCCTTGAGTTTAGCTAGATAAATGTCCTCCCAACCAAAGATTACACTTACTAGCTTCCCTCAAGGTTGATGTGACCACAGGACTAGGTTCTAGCAAGCAGTACGTGAACACATAAAATATAAGCAACTTTCAGGTCATGCTCTAAAAAGCAGAGGGCCTGTCCCCCCTTCCCTTCCATCCTTACTGCTGGGAAGAAAGTGAACATGACAGCTAGAGCTGGAGCAGCCACCTCATATCATGAGGTGCAACCACATGTTGAGGACAGCAGAGGAATATGGCAGAAACAGCCAGGGTCTCTCATGCTATCTAGACATCCATACCAGCCCTGGACTACAGTTATTTTGGAGGCTGTGTTTCTGCAGCCAAGTTTGTCTTCTAAAGATTACATTAGACAAGGTGCACAAAGTGCCTACTATGGTGTCTGACACAGAACAGGTCAGCTCCTTCTACGTGGGCCCTGAGAGCTCAGAGACTCCAGCAGGGAATGTGGCTACTGGGCATCCTTGACCAAAAGACGGCCCTCACCTCCTTCAGATGGTCAGTCTCTAAAACCGAGCCATGGTGTTGAGTGGGACATATTAGAATGGGAGAAAAGTCAATCCCAGTGATGCAGACCCAAATCAATGCCTGTGATCCATAAGGAGGTAGATGCCGAGGGCAGAGCACTCTCTGCTGTGCTTCCCCAAACCGACCTTTGCCATTTTAAGTGACCAAAACTACTTTCTGCATACTCCCCTGCCTTCAAGATAAAGTCCAAACTCCTCAGCTGAATATACAATGTCTTTCACAATCTATCCCTGTTTTTTGATCTAAGCTCCACTCCTGCTACTCTCCCCTCACTCTCTACACGGCAGTCCTACTGAGTTGTTTGTAGTTCCCAGATCATGCTACAATCTGGGATGCCATCTCCCAATGGCATTGCACAAGCTTGTCTATTTGCCTGCAAACTCATCTCTGTCCACAGATCCTCTGCCCTCTTCTCTACCTGGCTGACTCCTATTCTTCCATAAGTCAAGGCTCACCATCACCTCTAAGAAACTGTCCTCGACTATGGAAGAGACCACCTATGGTCCCTCCAAAATTCTTTCTCCCATTCTTTCACAGTACGAGAAGTCTGAAGCAGCACATGGCCACCAAGCTGCAGACAATATTTCCCAGTCTCTCTGCTATGACCATGGAACTTGGTGCTGGCCAACTGGGTGTGAGCAGAAGTGACAAGGGTAACTTGCCAAGCTGCCCTTAAAGAAAAGGTTGGTTCCCATCCCCCTTCCTATGGGCTGGAATATGGACTTGGTGATGATTCCTCTACAACACGCACATAAAAAACAGCAGAACAAGAAAAGGAAAGGAGTCTGGGCCTCCAACACCACAAGCTGCCTCCATATGTCTGAGAGGAGTGATGGCAAGAATAGGTTACTGCCGATTCTGAATGCATATCCCCTCCATGGCCTTCAATAGCCATTGAATCAAACTCTCCTATTACAGAAGACCAGCCATGGGATCACCAAAAAGATCCAGAATTCCAGGATTAGGGTGGAAAACTTCACTGACTCAGGTCATTGATTCAAACTGTCCAAGACGAGGGGAAAGCAAAGCGGGGACCAAGTCATCCCAAGCCCAATAGATCATCTTCCTGAATCTTCCACATCTGACAACTCCCTCCCCTCCTCCTTTCTTGACACAAGTTCAGAAAAGTGGGGGCCTTACCTCTGGAGACTTTGTAAACTTCATAGAAAGAATAGAAGTGGAAGCCGAGTGAGGCAAGCAGGTAAAGAGCCAGTTCCCAACGGGGCAGCATTGCTCCTTGTGACAAAGGGTCCCGATGCGCACGCTGAGAGTTTCTAGGAAGAGAAACAGAAGTAAAAACATTAAGACATGGACATGACACTAGAGAACAGCATCTTATCACCAGTCAGTTCGCTCACTCTCCCAGGGACCCATCGCTATTCAAGATAAACCCTCAGTCACACCGCCCACCTGTGTCCCACACACACACACATGCCCTGCCTGCCTGGGGTGGGCAGGTCTTTCCCTATGAGCTCCCACAGCCTCCCATCACAGTGTACACTAGACAGTTCTGTCCTCATTGCCTGACATACATGTCTGCCCCGTGAAGTGGACCTTTAGAGAGCAGGGTGCATGATCTCTGAGTCCTCAGTACCTGGCACACGGCGTAGAATGCAGCAAGAAGGGACTACTAAGTACTCCATGAATAATAAATGGCTTCAAAATCTTGAACAAAAGAAAAGCACAAATCATCTCCCAACCTCTTCAAAACCAACGGCCTTAGCCTTCTCATTCTATCCTTCAAATGTCATCCCGTAGTTGTTCATAAGAATGGCTTAATAAAAACTCCTCCGTCTTCCATCTTCCGTGCACTTCTTAAAGGGAAGCTAATGACATAACGCCAGGCAGCCGTGGCAGACGCTGCTCGTTGCCCACCCTGCAATATTCAGTCTCCTTTCTTACAGAGTAATTGAATTTTTATCTGAACACATGGATGCTGAGCTCAACTTTATAGCATAGACAAGTGTGGATACTTGAATAGTTCTGGCTGTGTAGCTGTGGTCATCCTCTTCCTACTGGATAGAGTTGAACAGCCACCTTGGAGCAAAAGCTGAAAGCTATACAGAAAAACAAGACAGAGGTGCCTCAGTTCCTGACTCCATATACCACCCCAGCCCCAAACTGCCCTGGACCACTGATACCTGGACTACTACATGAAAGAAAAATGTACTTCTAGGTTATTTAACCTCTGCTAATCTAGATCTCTCTGTTATGGGAGCCATGTCTATATTCTTTTTCTTTTCGCTGGAGGAATTGTCCCTGAGCTAACGTCTGTACCAGTCTTCCTCTATTTTGTATGTGGGATGTCGCCTCAGCATGGCTTGATGAGCAGTGTGTAGGTCCACACCTGGGATCTGAACCTGTGAACCCCAGGCCACCAAAGCACACAAACCTAACCATTATGCCATCAGGCCAGCCCCCCATCACATCTATATTCTAAGCAACAGGGCAGGTGATGGAAAGTTAGGTCCTAAACTTCCATCTGCAAATTAAATAATCAGTTCCCAAGCAACAAAGAGTTAGCTAAATGTGAGCCCTTTTATGATTCTCATTGCTTCTCAAATACGCGTCATTGTGGATGCCCAATTAAATTAAGAGCAAAAATTTAAGCCCTGAGTAAGCACTTCTAATATGTGATGGTAATGCCAAAAAATCAGAATTCACACGTTATCTCATTTTATTTTCACAACAGCCTAGCGAGGTAGGTGTTTTACAGACGACAAATGTGAACTCCCTTCTTCAGGCTAGGAGGGGACAGAGCAGGAAGGGAAAGAAACTTCGGCTTCCATAAAGTATGAGGTCAGAAGTCAGTGGACTAGAGAGCCTAAAAGTCAGTTTGGTCTGGGTTTCTCCTGCAACCTAAGAGATCCAGAGCAGACACTCAAGCTTTCCATCCCTAGCTCTAAGCCCTATAGTACTTCCACAACGCCTTCTCAGTTTCCCCCACTACTTTTCAGAACCACTTCTAGCTTCATACATTTCTAGTCACACTTTATTTTTAAATACCTGGCATCTCCTAGAATATTTTAAGGTTTCTTTCTGGAATTTTGTAGGAATGTGCTAGTGTTCTCCTAGTGGGAAGTTAACTTTAACCTCTGGGTTTTATGTTTCTACTTTCAAAGCATGTTAGTATTATATTGGATGACCTCCTCACCTCATTAAGAATCTTTGATCAGCAAAGAGCTGAACTGCTAAACGTGCTACTGAAATTTGAACATGAATAATCTTGGAGATTAAATGAAAGTTCTAGAAGCTCTGCTCTTTAGAAGCTTTTCAGGGACATTCTCTTCTAGGTCAATTCCCCTGCATTAATGATTTAACTGTCAGGGAACTAGAAAGCTCAGCGTTATAATATTTCCCTTTTTGATGCTGCTCTTAGCTACACTGTATATGTTCTGTAGACACATATACAAAGATACATGGGAGTGAGGAACAAAGCAGCAGGGCTGTGTCCTCACATGTAAAACTTGGGGATGGGACCAAATAGCCTTCCCCTGACAGCACAGTGGTGAATTCCACATCAAGCAGACCTGAGTGGAGTCTAGGCTCTGCCCTTTACTGGCGGAGGAACTTAAGCGGATCACAACCTAGCAGATACGTCTCCTCATAGGGTTTTTGAATGGATTAAAAGTAAAATGCTCATCCAGGACCTGGCACAGACTAAGCACTCAATAAACATTAGCTATGATCTGTCCAGCAATACCAGTTGGTGGATTTAATTCACCAGGAGCCTACCTAGCTAGAGCCCTGGTTCTCTTCCCAAATTGATGAAATCTATCTGACCTCCCACGGGGGGTTACCCGCTGCTTGCTCAGCAGATCAGCACCCCCAGCCCAGCGCTCTCTCTGATGTCCTACTCCTCTTCTTCGCCCGACACCAACCCAAGGACACCCCAGTGGGGGCCACCTGCAGAGCTTTCTGCCCAGCATCTTTTCCCCACCACCTCTCTTCTTATCCCCAAAGGAATGACATGTAGTACTCTCACTTCTCTTGCCCCATCACTCACAATTCCAGGAATGCCATCTCAAAACGCTATCACTACATGGACACTCACCTGTCTTTCTCAATAGATCTTTCTTCCTTACACCTCTCTTCAACTCTTCCCCACTTACCTCAAGGAAATTTTACTCCCCCACTGTTCTTTTCTCTTTTCATTTCAGCTGTGCACCCAGAAAGCCAATCAGAGTAGATATGTTTTAAAGGATTTAATGACACTACAGTATCAGAGAAAATAAAGTAATGCACTTGGGAATACAACTAGAGCTTTTAAAAAATGTCCAAACCCATAATGGTTTCCAAAAACTCTGTCACAAATTCTCAAGTTTCTATTTCTCATTCTCTAAACAAGCATGCTATTCGTCAGGCATACGCTATCATGATGAAATCAAAGAGGTCTCTACTCAAATGTGTGAGTAATGCTTCTTTTCCATTTTCATGCAAAGATTCGGTCCCGTAGCAACATTATCAGCTAAGTGAGCATCCGTGAGAGCCTAGAAACTCATCACCATTTATAACATGATTTCTATAGGAAACAACCAGTCTATAGCAACACAGCCTGTTTTTTAAGTAAGAATCTACCTGATAAACCTACATAACCGATGTACCATTTGTATGTGAGAGCTAAGGAAGGTTGCTGGGACGTCAAATGGTGAAGACAAAGAGAGAGAAAATGCATTTATTTAATATTAGGTGTTGGAGGGAAACCGGAGCAGAGGTTTCCCTGGGATCAACGGGAAAGAACTCAGACTGGAGTACCAGGGAGCTTTCTCTACCTCCATATTGAGTATAAGAGGCCCCCAAGGCTGGATATTTCCAAAAAGTGTTTATCTGAGAACTACAGAACTCAAGAGGCCCACAGAGTAAAATCTTAGCTGTAAAATGGCAAACATTCCTCAGCTACCAGAGCTTTCTTTATACTGAAGTGACTTATATTTGCATTTACTTTGTAATTTAACACTCCACCTGCTTTGAAAGATGCCATCTACTCTAATCCTCACCAGGAGGGCTAACTGTTAGCTCTTTTTCAGGAATCAGAATCCAGCTCAGGGAAAAAAAAAAAAAAGCGATCCGCCCAAAGATCCAGAGAAGCCAGTGATGGAATAAAACCTGGAGCCCCAGTTCCCAACTCCCACTCTCTTACAGGCACAAATCCTGTTCCTTAATCTTGGCAGAAAAGCATAGCTCACTGTGCCAAAGCCTGAAATGTGCATAAACATAACTTCTGTAAGATGCTTTTCCCACAGCAATTTCCAGTATCATTTCAAAAGTTCTTTATTTTTGACGCATGCAACGAATGGATTCCAACACTTCCCTTTTTCATTTTTTCTGCTCCTCAGTCTTGATATCTAGTGTAGGGGAGGAGGATATTTCCTCTCCCCAAATGTGGGTTCGTCTGGCCGGAGAACGAATTAAATTCACATGAGAGAGAATAGCAAGAGAAAATTAAACAAAGCTTTATGAGGAACCATGGCCCGGGGCCTTTCTTCCCGAAGGAAGAAAGGGCACCGAAGAAGTGGGGTACACATAGTGGTTATATACCCCCAAACAGGGTGTTTCACATGTGATTGAAATGTCCCTCCCACAATAGTCACAAGATTGCCCTGTGGGCACAGCGCTTGATGGACACAGCAGGTAGTGGTCTGCTATCTCAGTGGGCGGAGCCGGAGGCAAGTCGATTGTCTGGAGCTGGGCGGTCACAGGTGAGCGCAGCAATCAGTTCCTAGCCTAAAGAAAGATGCTTAATCCTTAAAGAAATGCTAAAGTTGGGAGGGGGAGGGAAGTCAGTTACAGGAGGTTACCAGACAAGCACAATAAAATGCAGATTTAAGTCCTTGCCTTTGGTATTGATTAAGAGTTTTTGGAGAGAAGGCCATCTCCTTTCTTCTTCCTGGTACAGAGAGGGAGGCAGCTTTTACAGATAGAGATTTACCTTACAAATGTAAATGTGTCCTAAGGAAGGGCAAGTTCCATTCCTCAGAGCCTCCTTCTCTGTCCCAGTTTATCAAAAGCAATGAGCCTCAAATAATCCTGATGCCAAAGAGACATATCTTTGGGTGGCCAATTCCAGGTCCCCACACTAGCACTAACTGCTCTATAATCAAATACCCACAGGCAGTAAAGGACTTTCAAATGGCACCCTCAGCATTATGCGAACAGTCCTTCAGGATCAGCATCACCGTCATCACTTAAACCAACTACCTGTTGCTCAATGTCCTAAACTGAAATTTCCCTCTACTGAGTTTTACTGTAGTTTACTAAGGGCTGTACTATAATA